GTAGGGATAGGAACTTTTTTATTGAACTTTGCAAAGGGATATTCTTTTCCAGCATCAGCAACACGACGCCAGTGATGAAAAATCGCGCCGTCTGTACGTGCTGGATTGGTAAATGGTGCCCATTTCCATGGTCTGACTTTTTTCATACCAAGTTTGGCTCTCACCTGCTTGTACCCCTTCGCGGTGTCGGTTGGAAATAAAGGTGGTACGTCGTTGTTGTCCTTACAAAGGAGGGCAAACACTTCACGGTGCATGCCTTCAGGACGTTTTGGCATTTTATTGTAGTCATATCGCTTACGATTCTTTTTGTCGCTGCCCAATATTGACTCTTTTGTCAGTTCCGTAGTTGTCGGTACCTCAATATCCAGAATGTCGCGTACGTCTGCCATCGTGACAGCTACTAATATTTTTTTCGTAAAGATATTTTTTTTAGAGTAATTTCCGGTTGATGAATAATAATTGCCTTCAACCTTGAAGTTATATGATGATACGAAAAAACTTCATACGTTTTGAGGTTAAGTTTCTACTTTAAGGTTAACTTGTTTGCTTATTGTCAGTAAACTACTTTACTAAGCACATATTACTTATCGATTGCTTAATTTTAAAATAAAGAAATCAAAGGAAAGGAAATTACTACAAAAGCCACAAATTATACTACTCAATTGTGAAAATACAACGTATATTTTATACTTTATGTGGAAAAACACCTACGTTTATCTGCAATAAATAGATTAACTGAAAACTGAAATGAAAAACATGTGGGAAAAACGTATACTAGCTCACCAACGTCCATTTCAGCAATATAGGGAGTTTCATCAAAATCAAGTTATTTACTATATCGATAAAGTAAATGGCATATTTGCCGACTATCCATAATTGCACTAATTTCTTCTTAAAATTCAATAAAACTCAACGCAATTTCAAAAACTTCATTTATTATAAATTATTTTATAGTAATATAAACAAATTAACATGCGACTATTATGTCATCAAACATAGCCACATTTCCAAACAAGCTGATGTCGTTATTTATTGTCATTTTTACATCAGTTTGTTTGCTGAATCGCGTCATAAGTACGACTATAATTGTAATTTATTATGTTAGGCGTTTATGAATGCTTATGTAACACTAAATATATTTACATATAGATACAATAGAAACTTGCCAGAGAATCACCAGAATGCCACCCAGGAATCATTTTGTCCTTTGTTTACTGAATGTTAAACAAGACTGACATAATATTCGGAAAGCACTCTTAATAGAAATCTAAAATCATTTCTGGAGGTTAATTGTGTATCTTGAAATGAAGTGAAAATTTCCAAAGTGAGAAAATTCACTACGTGTGTTAACCAATTATGTATAAATATTTTAGTAAATTCTCACTTTTATAATTTTCACCTCACTTCAAGACATACAATCGACACTCGGGAAACATTATAAAGATGTCATTCAGACATCATATAAAGATGTCCTCATATCATGTCTCATAAAATATCCTTATATTTCCTTTTTGGATGTATGTCATCTGGAAATCCAGACAATATGCATGCCTGAAAGATCATACATTATAAAGACGTTTCTTGAGACATACATATGTCTAAAAGATATATTTAAAAGATATATCAAGACGTTAACTTCTTTATATTGATTTTGTCTGAATTGTATCATTAAATGTATATGTTGTTACTTATTTAAACATTTCCACTCATATCATAATATTACCTCATTATACGAACTTCATAAATTTACATTATAAATATTACTTCTCAAGAAAAATACATAAATACTTAATATACAAATTTTTATTGAGGTTGCATGATATCAATACTTTGAGGAGCTGTAACGTCAAGTAAGTTTATAGTGTTAGGCGACCGATAATTTGTGGAATGTGATAAGACAGATCCATGATTATCTGATTTCTTTTCTAAACTAAAAAATTTGCAGCTTACAATATACCAGAAGCTTTGTACGACATTTTTAACCAAGCCTGTAAATTTACAGAATTCAATAATTCTTTGTATTATTCTTATTGAAAAATTCATTATTTGCAAATACTTACCACTTGTAACGAAAATACCACCTACAGTGGCACATAATTTCACTAAAAACTGAAAAATTGTATCACGTTCCTGTGTCACTTTGATCTTGAGTGCACTCATGTCATATTTGAAAAAAATTCCAGGTATTCCATGAGATCCTTTATGATGATCAATTGGCCTTTGATGATCTTTGACACTATATTGGTATGTCTTAGATGTTGTTAATAATGTCCTAATATCTGTAGGGACAACTTCAACAAAATATTGATAAAGCATCATATCTGAAAGAAAAATTATCTATTAAATTAATTATCTATTAAATTTGAAATATCACGCTGGCTTGTTTCTAACAATCATCTTACAAGATAAAACAAACTTACTATTATCTGCGATCTTCTCATCACCTTCAAGAGGATGCACAATTCCAGGACTAGGTCCACCAAAAGAAAATTTATTGATTCTGTGAGTAAAATTATAATCTCGATCCGTCATAAATGCAGAAATATGTATATGACCATGTGGCACAGACAATGATTTTCCTGCAGTTATATGAAAATTACCCGCTACTTTATTAATATTCAGACTACCATGAACACGGCAGGCATTTGGTGCATAATCTGGTACATATGATCTAAATGATATAAATGGTTGTGTTCAAACTATAATACATCTACAATTTTCAACAAATATCATAGAATCATAAATAATTAAGTTAGTTCGCACATACCGCTTTGGCATTTCACTGTACAGAGTAACCTGATTGGACTTCCAAAGCAATTCATGAATAGCATGATATTCTTCTCTTAAATAAGAATTCATATGCTTCAAAGCTTCAAAATGTGTCCTTTGTTCTTGCGTTAATTCCCACCATGTATCCTCTTCAGTCAAAGAATCAAAATCTATCATATGTTGATTTGTAGAATCTAAAACATCAGCACCGATACGACCACAAGGCATTGCTACTGTTACATCAATATTGATTTGGAGTTTTGCATCAATGTCAGTATCTGGCTCAAATGTGAATTGTAATCTACTATCAAGATAATAGCTTGTTTCAGCTATTACCAAATACATGATAATAAGAACTGTAAAAATGGAAACTGAAACAGAACCAGATTAAGTCAATCAAAATGAGCAAAGAGCATAGTTAAGAGCATACAACATATATATGCATTAAACAACATATAAGTATTAAACAATACATAATATGTATATCATCTTTAACATAAGGAATTTAATAATAATTATTAACTCACATGTTCCTCCAACTGCAGTTTTGTCAACATATACCTCAGGAACTTTTGGGAATGCATCCAGTTCCTTAACGGTCTTAACATTAACGTGTCGTCGCCTCAACATTTTTACAACTTACTTGCAAATATCCACAAACTATTTAATATTATAACTAACCTATAAATAAGTATTTATTACACTTAGAAAATAATCCAGAGCTATGTACAAGTTCGATATTTACCTTTAGCACTGTGTTTATCACCATATTCACTACTTTCTAAATTTTAGTTAAATAAAAGAAGGCAGTATTTTGTACATTTTTTGACACGTAGATATTATCATATGTAGCGTATGTAATTTTACATGCTACATGAGAAATATGAAACATCCGAGACTAGTCAATATGTGCTAAAGTCACTACAAAAATATTACAGCGGCGATTTTACATATAGAAAGATGGCGCCACAATATACTTACATCGTGACTTCAATCATTCAACTAATGTACATATTAAATATTTTAAATATCTTACGGCGTTTTGGAAATTCGGATATTACGAGAACTATCTAAATATTCATCTGAATATCTAAATAATTGTCTATATTTATATTTTTCTAAAGTAGTTAGACGAAAATGTCAATTTGCCACATTTATAAATTTCAATATTTTTTTAAACTAATTCTCAGTTAATATTTCAGTTAATATTAAATTCAATATTTTGATCACAAAAAGAATACATAAAGGATATATAAAGATCCACAAAAATTCATAAAGGTTCATAAAAATCAAACATCGTATAAGAACACGAATTATGAATATTTTTCAACGTAGAATAAAGAAATTGATAATCCTAACTTGTTTTTATAATAGATCCTATTTAATGTTACATGACTTCGATTCTAATAAATTTATGAACTATATATGATTGTAATAATAATTTCGAACTTTATTATTTTTTACATAACATAAATATTTTTAAGTTTTATTCAAGAATAGAAACTATAAAAACAAATATGTAAATTTGTATTCTAAGAATATTCGAAGCAAGAGAATATCAAACGTATAAATAAATTTGTGGCCCTGATAAGGGCCGTTGATCTTGAGAGGAATGATTTACTTGGAACTAGTGTATTTGGTGACAGCCTTGGTGCCTTCACTCACGGCGTGCTTCGCCAATTCTCCGGGCAGCAACAGCCTTACAGCAGTTTGAATTTCCCGAGAGGTGATCGTCGACCGTTTGTTGTAATGAGCCAAACGCGATGCCTCAGCAGCGATACGCTCAAAGACATCGTTGACAAAGCTATTCATTATACTCATAGCTTTGCTGGAAATTCCAGTGTCTGGATGGACTTGCTTCAGTACTTTATAGATGTAAATAGCATAGCTCTCCTTCCTCTTCCTCTTTTTCTTCTTATCGGTTTTGCTGATATTCTTCTGAGCCTTTCCAGCCTTCTTCACTGCTTTACCGCTTGCTTTTGGTGGCATGATTTAAGTCTTCTTACAGCGCCGTATAAGCAATCGCTGAGACGGAACTTCGAAAAGTGCCGAAGACGGGACCGTGTGTTCTATATATACAGTAAAGTGATAGTGGTGGCGCACCAATCGCGTGACGCGACACAGCCATCGTCACGCGCTCGACATCCGATTGGACGCGCGTAACCATCGCAATACAGTATAAATACTCGTCGAGAAGCAGCCGAAGCAACACTACCGAGTGGGAACGTCGTACGACTCGTAACACTTTGTAACCTCTCATTCTTCGCTAACTGCAATCATGTCAGGCCGTGGCAAAGGTGGAAAAGCTAAGGGAAAGGCGAAGTCCCGCTCTAATCGTGCTGGACTCCAGTTCCCCGTTGGTCGTATTCACAGACTTCTGCGAAAAGGAAATTACGCTGAGCGTGTCGGCGCCGGTGCTCCAGTCTATCTGGCTGCAGTGATGGAATACCTTGCTGCTGAAGTATTGGAATTGGCGGGAAATGCCGCTCGCGACAACAAAAAGACCAGAATCATTCCTAGACATCTTCAACTGGCCATTCGCAATGACGAGGAATTGAACAAACTGCTCTCTGGGGTTACCATTGCTCAGGGTGGCGTACTGCCGAATATTCAAGCAGTCTTGCTGCCAAAGAAAACTGAAAAGAAAGCTTAACTGCAGCAATTACAAACGGCCCTTTTAAGGGCCATCAATTTCTTCATGTACGAAGAATATCTCGTATTTGCAATTCTATAATCTATTATATCTTTATTTAATATAAATTTTTATATTAAAAATATATATTATACTATCTTTTAATCATTCAATTTAATTTCTTATATTAATGTTACGTAAAATACGCGTAATTTAATTATTAAATTGTTAATTTAAAATATCGAATATATTTAAGTATATTCCGAATTATACATACGTAGGCTTACCGCTGTCACTAAAAATTACAAAACTTATCACTCACCATTCAAAAGTAAAGGTTTCATGCCTTAAATTTTTTTTTTATTTTAAACTTCATTTTTAACGAAGATATTGTATTATATATATCATTTTGAGCTAACAAAATACGCAGAATTTTTCCTCCAAAGCCAATATAAAGGGAAAATTATACTATAAAATTTTAAATATGTTCTAATTTTATTGATTTTATATTTTATATATATATATACATAAAAGATTTAAATAAACTTAGAATCTTAATAAACTAGATGTATATAATAATGTATTTAATTCGAAAATATTTTTCGAATTAAATACATTATTTTTCCTTTGTTTCCAGACACTTGTTTCATTTCTAAATTGTTTCAGTTCCTGAATTTAGATGCTATTATTAGTAAAAATTTGTCATCTTTGCCGAACATATTGAAACGTATATTCTTAATGACATTGTTTTTAAAATTTATAAATACCTTTAGATTTAATGGAATATTAAATAATGAAGGTATCACCGTCACAGAATAATATGTTCAAAATAATAAAGTGCTAATCCTTAGATATCATTCTATACAATTTTAATCAAGCCTAAAACAAACTAGCTTGCTCAGTGTTTAAAAAAATTCATTTTTCTTTCATTATTTCGAATACAAAACTCATTATTCTTACTTTTTTGGGAGTACTGAGCCGGCAGCAAGTCTGCACACGTATTTTATAATTGCAAAAATGATCTACATCATAAAAACCATTTCAGTAATAAAATATTTGATTTACAGACGTAGATTTATGTGATACTACATAAAATTATCAATCCCTTGATACATGATAAATATCAAATGTGTAATATTGGAGATATTCAATGAGTACAAAAAATATATTTACTATTATTAATACATTAATATATTTCAAAAAGGAAATCATATAAACAGACAATTGGAAATTAGCGCCTAGACGCGCGCGCGCGCGCGCGCGATGCAGTTTTTGTTTCTTTAAATTATATATTCTATTCGTTACTTGTGTACATATTTCGGCTAATCTTTTAGACTTTCTCAGCAAAATTACAGTATATGTTACGCGTTAGTTATCCATGAATCATATAAAACTCATTATATGTTGAAATAATAGTCGATATCATTGTGTGGCAATAACATTCCTCCATTTCAGAATAAAAATTCCCAGTTTGAAAGCTGGATGATAGTGAATGAAAATCTAATTAATTATAAATAATAATTAAGCTAAAAACATTTTTATGTCAAGAAAGACTTACCCCCACAATGATGTGACGATTATATTGGTCAATTATTACAATAATAAAATAAGTAATAATAGAATTAGTTATAATAAAATTCTAAAAAGGTATCTTGAAATCAAATGTCTCCAGCATCATTCTTTTTAAATCCTGCTTTACTAAATTAATATATTTAATATACCAATATATATATAAGTTTAATCTCAAGGACTTGATGCTTCGCCGCGTTGAGGTATTCTCTGTATTTTGCTTCTGGTGTACCTGGTTCGCTTGTAGTGATAGTGCTACCTTCAATAGTTATTGGTGATCTCACAGAACCTTCGATTTGGAGACTGCAGTAGAAGGATCTCAAACTTTCCATTCTGGATTACCCTCTAATTTAGAAGGCAATAAAACGAAGCTGCCTCAAAAGAAGTTAGTGAAAGATAACCTTGACGATGGACTCGCATCTAATAAAGTTTTAAAATTACACTTGGAAGTAACCAAGGTACCATTAAGAAACAGATTTCAGTGTTAGCCGACACTATAGAGCATGATGATGCTTCTTCACATGATTCTGACGATTTGCATGTAAGTAGTGACAACTTTAATCTTTCTCCTACTAATTCGGCGACTAATAATGCTTCTCGTGAGCGGAAACCATCTCCAATATATTTAGCTTCTAAGATAAATAATTTTCTCACCTTTTCAAATCAGATTAAAGTAGATTAATGTAGGTGATAATTTTTACATTAAATATTTGGGAAATCAAATTAAAATACAATTTTACAAAACATGTGATTTCTTAGAGTTTAAGAAAATGGCCATTTCAAACAAATTTCTATTTCATACATATTCTCTGTCAGATGACAAAACAATAATAGTTACTATTACATTTTTAGGATTTTTTGTAAATTTTCCTCTTGCTTCTTACCACTCTTGAAAGGAAACGTTGCTTCAAAGATTCTAATCTTTTTGTTATCAATAAACTCATCTGTTCGATATCATACAGATTGCAGGATTTATTCCTGGGTCATAACCTACTGTCATAATCAAATATTAGAAGATGTAAAAAAAAACAATTACATTTTCAAAGTTATTATCATATACTGTTTAGTTAATATCAATATTTTTATAAAAATAAACGCAAATTTTTACCTCTTTTTCTCTCCATTGTGATCTTGAAAAGATGTTTGTTGAATATTCTTTGCGGAAACGCCGTCATCGATATTGTTATCATAATTTTAAAGATTCGTGGGCGCCAAACATGATTGTTTTTCCTATTCTCTAATTAACATTGTATCTTCAGTATTGTGAGGATGATTCTATATATAAAGACAAAAGACGCACTTAAAATTCAATATTATAATAACATTGTATTTATTATATAATAATATTACAAATCCAAAATTTTATTTTATTATGCCAATAAGAATATTGAGTAATTTAGATGTCAAAATGATGGACGGTATTAATATTCCTACCAAGAAACTCCAATTCTGATGATGTTGCTATTGCGGTGCCAGGTACTGTGTTTGTTGCTAGATGACAAACTAGCACTACTTGCTCTACTTAATTGTAGCGGTGCGTTTATTAATTTCCATCGTTTCCTCGTCAATTCAGAACGAATGATACCAATATAGTAATACAAACATCGATCGTCATAGCCAATAGTCCATGCCTTCATAATATAAAAATAAAATATTAGGTGTTGGAATTAATTCGTAGCGTTTTACAAGTGATGGGAAGTACTTTCATTAATGTATTTTTTAATGCTCATGTGAAATAAATAACATTCTTTCATTAAAAAACGCTACGAATTAATTCCAACACCTAATAAGTTAGTTATAAAAGTGCATATATTTAACACAATTTTCTATTTTCTTTGCGATATAAGTTAAGAATTAATTAACATCGTTACTTGATTATTATAATTACTATAAGTGATTATTATAGTGAATATTAATGCCATTTTGTTTAATATTTTAACCCATTGGCTAATTGTTCACAAATATCGATTTTTACCTTGAATGTCCTTTCGAAACTACGCTTCATCATCGTGCGTTATAGAGCCCATACAGTATTAGTATCGATATACTTTGTATCAATCTGAAGTCTTTCTGTGGTGATAATATTTTCGATTAATTTTCACTTTTAATTCAATTTTATCAAAGTACTCGAATATTTTAATATAACTAGATTATCCCTTGTTCATTTACTTATTGTCTCTCGTCACGTCTTTCTTCTTCTTATATTAATAGGCACCCGCCTCTCGAAATTATAAACGGAAGTCAGATCACGTTCAAGGTACATAAAAACAAAAAGATGATGCAGACGATTCAATGCCCGCAAAAATGGCAAAGTCCGTACGTCGCTCGGACATGAGTCAGGACGAACGGACGAGTCGTCCAAACCATGAGACAGATATATGTTTCAAGAGACATAGTCTAAGTCGGCAACACACTTTCAAAAACACACAAGATAAAAGCACCCGAGCCGAAATAAAAGAATCGAGCATCCATCGCGGATGAGTGGTTTCCTCGAGAACTGTCTCGTCATGTCTGTATGAAATATACGAATGCTTTGCCTATCATAAATACAACCTAAACTGAACTGGTTACTCCAATATTAATTTGACACATTCGTAGCTATTCGTCAATTTGATAGAACTCCATCTTTGTCCCTCACAATAGGTTGTACTTGTTCTACAGGAACGTGTATTAAATAACACAACCGATAATTTAATTTTTTTAATATTTAAATTTTATTGAGTTTTTGAGACAGCTGTAATAAAAAAGTTATATTCTTTCATGAACTATTATTGCCTATTAAATTACAAAGTTGTATACAGAATAGATATACATATTGAGGACTATTCTATATGTAGTTACCGACAGTTATCATTAATAGCGGTTATCATTATTATCGGTATCATTAATTAGCAAAAGCCAACGAGAGTCGCGCTTTTCTCTTTTTTTCATCCTTGTCTTTGTTAGTTAACAATAGAGGTAAGGCATTCTTCTGGATAATTATCTTTAATTATAATCAAAATTAAAATAACATTGATTGAATTAATACATTAATTTAATATATTTAACATTAGAATAAAAAAATAGTAATAGAATACATTTAAACATTAAAAAATAATAATTAAATTAATTCAAACGTTCAAAAGTAATAATTAATGTAAAAAATAAAATAATCTTTTCAAAGTTAATTATAGAAAATGAGTAACACACTACTGCATGTAACAATAAGATATATACATTTATGAAGAAATTATGAAGAAATTGTTGGAGAAAAAGATTCCGTATGGATTTTGCACGTATAACTTTTAATATATTTAACTTTTGTTGCAGCAGTCCAGCAGCATCGATTGGTCAAATCAATTGTATGATGAATTTTTTAATTTAAGCAAAAAATTGTAGTTTCGAACATAATATATTGATAATTATTTTATAAATAAATCGGAAATACATTTTAGAATTATATAAATCAATAATGATATTGGAGGAGGAAAGAAGAAAGATAAAGAAAGATGAAAAGTAGTGTCACGCGTCTCGATATTATTTATTATATTTCAGTCTTATTTATTAATATATTGTAATTGGATGTATATCAATTGACCACATCATCACTTGGCTAATTTAAAATAATAGGTATAATCTCATTAATAAAAATTACTAGGAACAAAATATAAGTGGTATGTGCAATTAAACTGTGTGCAAGTGCACCGCTCTCATTGTAATCTCAGTAAACTTTTTTTAACTTCTTTTATTTGTATTTAATATTAGAAGAATCTACAAATACATACATACGAATAAATATATAAAATATATACATATATACGAGTGTAATACAAGAAAGCGAAAGCACAAGGAGTTTAAATGAGATTCCAAAAGAAACGCTGACTCAAATCAAAGGTTGTTCGCATCAGAATGACTATCGCTCGTAGTCTTTCTTCGCAGGTAAGAAAGCACTGCATCGAAAAATATTTTTCTACTGATTGGAAATTGTGCAATACTGTATATCATTTTAGCTGCTTTGACGAAAATATCAATTATGCAACGCAACTAGAAAATATTCGTAGACAATTTATGGATAAAGGATAAAAAAGAAAGTTTACTAGCATACTTTTGCCTAAATTTTTTATATAAGTAAGTTTTTTATAGTTCTGACTTCTTATATACAATAAAATTATTAAAAAGATTGTAGTGCTTAGGGAACATTTCAAAAATGCACGAACATAGAATTTTCGATAAATACATCATGTTCTTGTTTAATTTCTTCATAGAAGTTTATGTTTATCCAATTCGATCACAAAATTTATAAGCGATTTATGAAAATTAAATAAGAAATCTTAGTTACGAATTTCTCTATTGTACAAATTGTATTATAATGATCGATTATAATTTAAAAACTACAATAAAATAATTAAGGATCTGAGAATTTAAGGAATAAATATATAAAAAAATTCGAACCAAGAGAATATCAAACGTATAAATAAATTTGTGGCCCTAAAAAGGGCCGTTTATCTTGAGAGCAACAATTTACTTGGAGCTGGTATACTTGGTGACAGCCTTGGTGCCTTCACTCACGGCGTGCTTCGCCAATTCTCCGGGCAGCAAAAGCCTGACAGCAGTTTGGATTTCCCGAGAGGTGATAGTTGAGCGTTTGTTATAATGAGCCAAACGCGATGCTTCAGCAGCGATTCGCTCAAAGACATCGTTGACGAAGCTATTCATTATACTCATAGCTTTGCTGGAGATTCCAGTGTCTGGATGAACTTGCTTCAGCACTTTATAGATGTAAATAGCATAGCTCTCCTTCCTCTTCCTTTTCTTCTTCTTATCGGTTTTACTAATGTTTTTCTGAGCTTTTCCGGCCTTCTTCACTGCTTTACCGCTTGCTTTCGGTGGCATGATTTAAGTATTCGTATAGCGCCGTATAAGCAATCGCTGAGACAGAACTTCGAAAAGTGACGAAGACACGACCGTGTGCTCTATATATACCGTAAAGCGATAGTGGTGGCGCACCAATCGCGTGACGCGACACAGCCATCGTCACGCGCTCGACATCCGATTGGACGCGCGTAACCATCGCAATACAGTATAAATACTCGTCGAGAAGCAGCCGAAGCAACACTACCGAGTGGGAACGTCGTACGACTCGTAACACTTTGTAACCTCTCGTTCTTCACTAACTGCAACCATGTCAGGCCGTGGCAAAGGTGGAAAAGCTAAGGGAAAGGCGAAGTCCCGCTCTAATCGTGCTGGACTCCAGTTCCCCGTTGGTCGTATTCACAGACTTCTGCGAAAAGGAAATTACGCTGAGCGTGTCGGCGCCGGTGCTCCAGTCTATCTGGCTGCAGTGATGGAATACCTTGCTGCTGAAGTATTGGAATTGGCGGGAAATGCCGCTCGCGACAACAAAAAGACCAGAATTATTCCTAGACATCTCCAACTGGCCATTCGCAATGACGAAGAATTGAACAAGCTGCTCTCTGGGGTTACCATCGCTCAGGGTGGCGTACTGCCGAATATTCAAGCAGTCTTGTTGCCAAAGAAAACTGAGAAAAAAGCTTAACTGCAGTTGAGCTTAATTGCAATTACAAACGGCCCTTTTTAGGGCCACTAATTTTTTCATACGAAGAATATTTCATTTGCAATTTTACCATTACCTTTATTATATTTCCTTTATTTTTTGTGCACTTCCAACTAGTCAATATAAGTTATGTTAAAAATATTCGTATTTTCTTTTAATATCTATTTATTCTTGACTATTATGTTATAAATAAGTTATATGGAAACACGTAATTCTAAAATACACGAAGTATAATCTTTCCAAAATGAATAACACTATTTGTGATCTTGAAATTAAACACCACAATAAATAATTTAGAATATATCAATTATGTTGTGAACTACACTGGATTCGAAATACTGCACAAAAGTCTTTTCATATACATTAGATTCATTAAGGATAGAACATTCTATTAATTTCATTCTTCACTATCGCAAATTAAATTCGTACTAAATAAAAAATTTATTGAAAAAGGAAATATACATCAATTAAATAAAAAGAAATGTAAACTTTGTAATATTGTGTCGCTATAAATCTAGCATGTCTTATTTTATTGAACACTCTGTTTTAATTCAAATTTAACATAAATGTAAGGCTAGAAATATTTTACTTATTTTTTAACATTTGCATTATGATTAAGATTATATATCTATGAGATAATGAATATTAACAATGTTTTCACACTTTCTATCTTGAAATTTAATTTTAAAATCTTAAGGATCATATATAAACAAATTAATAAGAAAATTGAGGAAGATATAGTTTATAAAACGATACGTTAGACATTATCAAATGTTAATTTATACAGGCAGAGATCGTTTTGAATAATGAAAATTCACGGCAAATAACGGTTGACCATTTTCGCTGACTCAAACCGCTCCATTTTTACCCTTCCGAATAAGGTCTAGCATTGCAAGTGCCACATTATCGATTGTTTATATCAGATATTTTTTCGCTTCATCGTTAGCATTACCTATCACAGCAAGAACGAATCATAGATCTTACTGTTGATATCTGTGACCAACGTTGTTACGCCCGGGCACATAATAACAACTCGCACTCCAATTTTGTCGTACATACTTGCTAAAGACTGACTAAATCCCAAAACAGCTAATTTTGAAGCGCAATACATTGGCATAATATAAAATAGATGTAATGCAACTATGGATGCAATATTAATTATTACGCCCTCACCGCCTTTATCCTCATGTAATCAAATGCCAACATATTAGCCACGAATTAGTGCCTTAACATTGAGATCGATCATTTCCTCTCAATATTTATCATTCGATGTATCAATTATTGATAAAAATATCAAGTTTGAATGCATCGACGATTTTCTTGAACGTCATCTCCTTCAAATCATCAGTTTTCGTCACGTCACAAGCAAAGAAGACAGCACGACTCTTTCCAAATTCGTTTTCCAAAATAATTATCTTATTCTGGCCGTTTGATGTTGGCAGATCAAACACGGCACTTTTTGCATTATCATAACAGTACTTGCAACCTAACTCCGCTAGCTGCTCCAATGATCATTACAGTTTTATTTTGTACATCGTACATTAAAATGCTAAGTTTTTAAAGTCTTCGATAAAATATATACTTTAGCGAATTGTAATGAACGATGTCTCTGCAAACAGAGCATTTCTAATTTAATAATTCTTATCGCGCTTACTATCGCTGATGATTTATTAACAAACTTGGTAGTTAAAAATAATAAGATATTTTTATTTCTAAAAAGTGTTTCATTTCTCAAAGATAAATTTAAGAAGACAAGTTATAGTTACAATTTTTTTGGAATTTAAATATACATATATACGGGGTGTTAAAAAAATATTTAGCATTTATATGATAGATAATACACATCATATTGACAAGAATAAAAAAACCTTAATGAACATAAGTCGAAAGCTCAACCGTTTCTGAAACATAAATATTTTTGTTAGCATCATGAATTGCTATATTTACACAAAGTATTTCCAATCAGTGAAATCTTCTGTTATGAAATATGTATGGAAGTTGAACGAGGATATACAGAATATAATTTACAAACACTGAGGTGAACATTGCATGCGACACGTAAAAATCAGTAAGTCATGATGCTAACATATAAAAATGTTTATATCTCAGAAACGGTTTGAATTTTCGACCTATATTTACTGAGACTTTCTATTCAGTACAGTGTACTATCATATATGTTGAATAGTTTTTTTAACATTCTATATAAATTTAATTATAAATAATAATATTACATTAATAATAATATTATATTAATGATATTTTATCGAGAAAGATATTTTTTATTGTATACAATTTCTTTCTTATTGTATCTTATTAATTTTTATTTTATTAATACGTATTCTGAAGTTTATAATCTTGTGCTAATCGTAAATCGATTTTATATAGTAAATCTATTTAACTGAATACACTTCGATTTCTTTTAAATTTGCTATAAATTTAAATTTACATTATGCTAATCTCTTAAAGTTTTTGATAAAACGTAAAATACTTGAGCGAGATATGAAGAAATTTTATAACGAATTACAATGAACATTATTCTTTGTAAATAGAGCATTTCCAGTTTTATGTTCCTTTTTATCGCATTTATTTTTTATTGCCAATAATTCAATAAATTTGTTGATAGAAAATAATAAAACACTTTATTTGCAAAAATACTTATTTATTGTTTCAATGATAAATTTGAGAAGATAAATTTATGATTATTTAGATTAAGAGACATCCTCGAAGATCTTGATTTTGATTTGTTGTCAAATGTAAAACTTTAAGTCACTTTGCTTTAATAACTAAATGTTGGTCTCTCATAATTTCTGAGATATTTAGAATTAAAATGTAATATTAGTAATAAATCTTCACCTTAAATGACAAATTTCAATAACCTCGACTTTGATATATGTAATTGTTAAAGTTGTAATGAGTAATTTTTAAAAGATTTTAATGTATGGTCACTATTTATTCAAAAGTTGTTAACAAAATAATTTTCATTGCATTTAAAAAGTAAACGTATGCTATTTATAAACCCATGTGAAACCTTCTTCGCATTATAAAGTATAAGCAAAGTAATTATCACACTCTCTTCGGGGACTACCAAAAAACTAGATGCGTGGGTCTGTACTGAATTTTACTTGATAATATCAATATACATTATACATAAAGACGTTGTAATGATGATAATATCAATAAATTATACATAAAGCCATGCGTTAAAAGATAGATTGTAATGAATATGGATGTCGTTCACATATAGAAATGTCAAAAAAGAACACAGATCCCGTAGTTAACTTTTCCTATTAAAAATGTAATTATTAATTACGATCAACCCTTCTTACGATAAGGAAAATATTTTTGCATTAGAACATCTCATAATTTTTTTGATACATTTTTAGCCCACGAAAAATATCTTCATCTTTATAATGTTTTTATGAAATACTTTTCTATATAAATTTGAATTCAGTATAAATTTTCTAAACTCATTTAAATTCTTACAAATTTTAGAAATTTATATCTGAAAAAAAAACAAATGTATAACTAATCATCAATATTGCTTACATTTGTAAGAGAAACTGAAATATTTATTTTTCTTCATAATTTATTGTATGTATTAGGTGTTGGAATTAATTCGTAGCGTTTTTTAATGAAAGAATGTTATTTATTTCACATGAGCATTAAAAAATACATTAATGAAAGTACTTCCCATCACTTGTAAAACGCTACGAATTAATTCCAACACCTAATAATATATATATATATTTTTCCTTTTAATTTGTGAAAAGATATTTATAAAGCTAAAATAAAATAAAATAAAATTTTCGAATGATGTCAGAAATTCTATTTAAAAAGTTTCTTAAATAAATAAAATATATCGCGTATTCATAGATAAGCGTATCTATAGATAGCGTATCTATACATAAAAAATTTAACTTGTTTTTAGAAAAGTTTAAATAAATAAAAATTAGTTTTTTCGTAGTTATATCTTTCGAATTTTTATTTGAATATAATTTTCGTTCTCCTTTAAATTATATTGTATTTCATAAATTCTATGCATTAATGCAATAAATTATATAAAAACAAGAGAATATTCTTCAATCAAATAAAAATTCAACATATGTAATTAGTGTTAAATGGCTTGTTTTAAATGCAAATGCTTATTTGTGACTTAGAAGGAGATATTATGTAATGCACATAATTTTAAATTATTGATAAGGCTATAGATATAGCTAAATATATTCAATAAAATTATATAAACAACTATAATATTAATATCGGTGACATCAGAATTTAGAAAAATATCAATTCAATATGTATTAATATGCCATATTATTGACATTATAAACATAATTTTTTCATGTTTTAAAAACTTAGTAATTAATGTACATTTTTAATAAGTAATACAAATAAAGAACTGTTAAAATCAGTCTTTGCAATAAAATAATACTTTCAAAGAAAAAAGAAATGTTACATTTCTCTCGCACAGTTTCAGCGTTACGGCTACGGTACTATTCTACTACAACGTTGATTGGCTGTTGGTATAGGAGAGGGGATACGACGCGCTGCCTCTCACTTATATAAGCACGGCCAACAGAACCTACGGCAACACTTTACGTCGAGTTCTCACGGAGTTAGCATCGTTGATTGTATTCGAGTTAATTCAAGATGACTGGTCGCGGTAAGGGAGGAAAGGGATTGGGAAAAGGAGGAGCGAAGCGTCATAGGAAGGTCTTGCGTGATAACATCCAAGGTATCACCAAGCCAGCCATTCGTCGATTGGCTAGACGTGGCGGTGTCAAACGTATTTCTGGCTTGATCTACGAAGAGACCAGAGGTGTCCTGAAAGTCTTTCTGGAAAACGTTATTCGTGATGCTGTGACCTATACCGAACACGCCAAGAGGAAGACTGTAACAGCTATGGATGTGGTCTATGCTCTGAAACGCCAAGGAAGAACTCTCTATGGTTTCGGTGGTTAATTCGCTCTACCACTTGTCAAAATCAAATCACAACGGCCCTTTTCAGGGCCAACAATTTTTAATACGTCGGAATTTTCTCTAAAAGCATATTTGTGTGCCATACATATCTATCTTATAAATAAAGATTACGTATATATACGTGGTCTTCAAAATTTAGTGAATTTAATAGTGTTCGATTTTTCTGTGATTTCGTGTTTTCAAGCGTGGAGTATATTCTATATTTCGAAGAGAGTAATTGTTGCAAATTCCGTTTTTTTTTTAATTTCAAAAGATTTTGATGTTCACATAAAAGTATAAACTTTGAATCATAAACTATTTTATTATAATTTGTATAAGAAAATAATTTAAATTTTTAATTAAAAAAGCAGACTTGTTAATTTATTATTTTCTAACTGATACCAAAATTTACTAAAAAAAAAACGGAACTTTGTGACAATTTTCTTTCTGAATTTATTGTATGTCCAAATTAATATTACAAAAAAATCGAAGAGCATTCATCAGAACATTCATCAGAATTTTTGTTGGCAATATTAGAAATTAAAGCACTTAAGAAATAAAGAATCTTATATTTTCCTTTACTCTGATTCAATTTTATGTAAATCGCATTAGAAATTAATGTTATTTCAATCCAAATATTTATTGTTATGGAGTGTGGTTTTTACAAACATAATATAATATATTATGTGGTAACAGTGTTAACCTACCTTAATGCATCTACCTTCACAAAATATTGAAATGTATAACGTGCAGCTTCGGGTCGATATTTGTCAATTTAACAGTTTCATAATTCATATTAATATATTTTTACGTTTAACATTAATGATAAATGTGACAGTCGAATTGCTCGTTCATTGTTGGACGGAACCTTATGCATAAGATATAAGAGAATCAACAATCCGGTCGATATTTATAGTCTGTTCTTATTTTAAGACAGTCTTAAATAATATTTTAAGATGTTCATACGCAGTGCCGTATTAAGACATAGATCAAGTGCTTAGGGCAGCAAATTTTAGAAAGATTTTTTTTTAATTTAAGATTGATATGGGTAATTTTAAGTCACTATAGATAGACGAGAGAATTTATAGTGAAACACGATCCATAGTAAAGAAATATTAAATTTGCTTTCTTCATATCAAATTCATTGTCACGAGTTCAAATTACGATGATATCAATGAATTTTCTCCATTAAAATGTAGAAAAAGATCATTTTAATTATAACTAACATATTTCAATTTTTATAGTTTTGTTTTCTTTATACTTGAAATAAAAGATTTTTGAGGACAAGATCTCGAGAAAATCAATTTTTTAATTAATTTAATATAACTTCTAAAAAAAATTTTACCCAGGTAACATCATATTTTGTAAAAGATCGCTCGAAATATTTCAGCCTCTAGGCGCAAGACGGATTAATGCGGCCCTGCTAATACTGCTTTGTGATTGGCTTATGACATCTTAAGACTATTTAAGACGGTCTTAAATATAAGAACCGACTATGAATACCAGCCTGAGGGTTCTTCCTTTCCAGAAAGGAAGAACTCTGATTGGTTGATTTTCTTACACGTTATGCAAAAGCCTGTGCTCTCGGCTCTTGCCCTATAATACAGTCAGTACGTAGCTTCCACTGCTGCAGATAAAGAGAAAGCTCTCTGAAGCGAGCGATCGGTTCTGAACGCTTGAATACGCGGGTACATAAACACGATTGAAGGACAAAGAAAGGTTTATAGATCTTGATTGTTTCATTAATATCGACTGGTCGCCATTTTTATTCTCAATGCTCAGAAAAACAAGGAACGAAAACTTTTCGCGAGAGGAGAAGGAATTCGTCGTCCGATTTGTGAACGAGCATCTGAAAATCTTGGAGAACAAGAGCAATACTTCGGAAGTGTACTTGAAAAAGCGCGACAAATGGCGGGAGTTAACCGAGAAACTGAAGGCGTTCGGGGTCGTAAGAGACTGGAAGGAAGTGCGACATGCATATCAAAGATGGAAGTGGTTTGCCAAAAAGAACATCACTGCTTTACAAAAATGGGGCGACAGTATACCAGCGAGTATGTCACCAACGGAATTTGATTATATGATATATAATGTATGTTCCCAAGAATTTGAGGATGATGAGAGTAATTTTTCGAATGAATCCGAGAATAATGTAAGTGAAATAGGGACGCGGGGGCAACGTAGTTTTTTTTTCTAAAAACAAAATTGAAAAAATGTGTATATAAAGATATAATTAATTTTTCTATAAATCATAGTATAATGAAGAAAATGTTTTTTTTTTAATGTATGATATAAAGAAATCTAAATTTTGATATAATATTTTATAATAATATATAATAATTTAATAATAATTTCCAATAAAAAATGTAAATATGTTTCTTCTCACATTTAAATAGTTATAATACAGTTTATTATGTATAAACATCCTGTAAGTAATTATATTTAATTGTAGAGCGTTTTTTAGAATTACAATATAATACAAATCATTTTTAATTAATTCTGTTTATAAATTGCAATGTATTTGAATATAAAGTAAAATTTACAATATAATATAATAAATAACAAATATATATAAATTTAATGACACACATATATGAATAAATAAAAAATATATAATAAATAAGAACTATTTACATACGTACAAATGTAGATATATGTATATATATTTTATGTTTAGCATGTTATGAACGAGTATGATGAATTATCTAATGTATCACATTCTTTTGACACGAACAGGTACATACGTCACATTATTTTTCTATATCTAAATCTTGCTCATAGTATTACATTATGTTTAATAGAATAAAATAGAATTTATTCATTTCAGTAATTCTCTAAACTATAATATCAATATAAAAATTCTGTTAATTTTTTGTTTTATATCAATAAATTATAAAATTTTTAGAATTTTATTTGTCAGAGAATTCAATTTATATGTATAATTTAAAGTTCGAATAATTCCTTGCAAACAGCAAAACAATAAAAGATAAAATTACATGAATATAAATATATAATTAATTATATAAATTATTTAATTTTAGTGGTTCTTATGTTTCTCACCCACTTCAATTCACTGAGAAACCTATGGAATATACAAATGAAATATTAGATAATTTGAAGGTAATCATTGCATATTGTGAAGAAACATTTGAATATTTCATTCTTTTATTCATATTTTAATTAATTCTTTTATTAGATAAAAATGGAACAGACTGATGAAGATGTACCAAAGATATGTGAAGAAACGAGGTATTATAAATTCGGAACTTAATGTGTGATTCAGTTCTGTAAATTTCATTTTTAACAGATTATAATGCATAATTTTTTTATTGTAAGAATCTCAATTTTATCTCATGTTTATTGATTATTTCATTTTAGATAATGTTTATATATGTATATAGTAATTTCAATATAATCAAAATTAGTAAATAGAAATGAATAAAATAATAAAATTAATCTCTTTTCAGAATTGACAATATTCGTGTGCAAAGTACAAGTGTCCCGGCAAATTCAACAAATGTTACGAATGTATCCAGAAAATCATCTTTCAACGTTGGAACCTCTAATAACGTTAATAGTGATATCGAATTCAAAAGGCGAGAAAACATATTAAAATTGAAACTTCTTCGCGCTCAGCTTAATAGAGAAGAAGAAGAGAGCAAAATCAGAATGGAACAAGAAAAAATGAAGCTAAATATATTAAAGTTACAATTAAAAAGAGAAAAAATGCTTCTGAAAAATATGCAAAGTTCTTCATAATATGAAATATTAAATGCGTATAAAATAATAAATGTACAAAATTCTTAACATGAAACATGAAACATTAACCATGACGTGATCTGTATGATTTAAAATTTAAAGTTTTCATAAATATAATTTTATGTGTTATACGTTTATGTTTGTCATGTTAATTAAAATGTCTAAGACACTGAAATAATTTTATGTAGGATTAGAAATAAAACGAAAATATAAATTGCGAGTATTCGAGTTATTCCTCGTTGAAAATAATTTGGGCCCTGAAAAGGGCCATTTATGACTGCAGCGAGTGTTCCATCGCAGAACAATTATTTCTTTGCTGCGGCCTTCACGGCTTTTCCTGTGGCTTTCTTCGGTTTAGGTGTCTTAGTCTTTGCTGCAGGTGCTTTCACAGCTTTCTTTGCCTTTGACGGTGACTTGGGCTCCGTGGCAGCCTTGCCCTTCTTTCCGGCAGCCTTCGCGACAGCCTTCTGAGCGGCTGGTTTCTTCGGACTCGTCGCAGCTTTCTTAACGGTAGTAGTTTTCTTTGGGGCAGCTGGTTTTCGTGGAGCCTTTTCTGTCTGCGCCTCCTTCTTCGTACCAGCTTTCCATACGTCCGAATTACCTAAGGCACGTTGCGCCTTTCCCTTGGATTTGGTGGGCTTAGGCTTGTCCGTCGACAGTTTGAAAGAGCCGGTGGCGCCTTTACCTTTGGTCTGCACGACAGCACCCGCAGTAACAGCAGATTTCAAGTATCGTTTAATAAACGGAGCAACCTTCTCGCCGTCCACCTTGTACGTTGACACTATGTACTTCTTGATCGCCTGGAAGGACGAGCCTTTACGATCTTTCAACTCTTTGATAGCTGCTGTCACCATCTCAGAGGTTGGTGGCCGCGACGATATTTTCTTCTGTTGTGACTTAACCTTACTCTTGCTAGCCTTTTTAGTGACTGCAATATTGCTCTCGGCGGTCTCGACAGCTGTGTTTCCACTGACTTTGTCCTCCATCTTCTGAAAGTATGTTTTATATCCAAAAACGATCGTCCCACAAAATATCTTAATATCCCACAGAATGCAGAATAGTCAGATTGTTGAAACGAAGGCGCGAACGACGCGCTGTAGTATTCAGCGCACGGACCACGGAGAGAGACCTGCCCAATATGTCGACCCGTTAGTTTCGCGGAAAGTGATGGAGCGGTAAACATACCTCGACTTTGCGGCGTTATTTCTATAAAATACAAATCAGTAGAAATACACGAAGCAAATTAACACATAGCCACGTATATGCGGTTACATTTTCATCTTCATTAAATGTTTCCGCGATTACCGGCTTACGTTCACGATGGAATTTCGACGCTCACGTATTTTCACGTCGATAGCGTAGCCTATGGAAAAACATAAAAATTGAACTTTTCCTTCAACATTTTCGATGTTGTTCCTCTAGAAAAATATGCCGACGAAAAGGGCCCACCACCTCGATTAATAGTTTCCATCCGATAACGACTCGTATCCTGAAAATAAGAAGCTTAATTCACGGCCTCTCGGGATACGCGCGCGTGTAAGGTACACAAGGCAAAATGGCCTTGTTACTTCTTGGCTTAATGGTATATAATGCAAATCGATCTAACGATTTATAATTTTTCTCATCGTCTGTTCTGTAATTTATAATAAATACTAAATTACCCATAAAATTAATCCTAGAATACTTATACGAAGTTGACGAGCGAATATCGCGTACTTTACGACACAGCTACGTAATGCATTCTATTCGAGAACATAAGAAAAATCGATTCAATAATGTATCCTTGTTAATCGGTTTTTTTCAATAACAATGTTTATTAACAAAGTAGAAATTCAATATACATACTTTTAGAATAACGATATTTCTAAATTCCTAAATAACTTCTTACTTTTTTAAAATCAGTTATGATCATATATAATAAGCTTTTCATTCATATAATATTAGTACAAGTTAGTGACGTTAGTAGCAATAATAATACATTAAAGTTATTAAGAGAATATTGAAATTTTATTATTACTAGATAATTTCCCCAAATATGCTTGTTTATAATATTCAGTATAGTAAAAAGATTAACATCATTTTGTATACCTGTATGAGATACCTTGTACCGACAGGACGATATTGCGATACAATAAGTTTTTGCAACTGCGAAATTTGTAAATGAAATAATCAATTATTCCGAATCCAATTTACTTATTTCTTTATATTAATAAACTTTTCATTGTTTATATTTTTTTATTAACAAAGAAATATGTAAATAATAAAAAGTTCACACATAAAAAGTATAATTAATTCATCATTGTATTCATATGCATTCAGTAATATTTTTTAATATTAATTTCAAATGTCAGAACATTCAGAATATTGTTTCTTTAGAATATCAGAATTTTGTCGTTTTACAGTTTTTATAAACTAATATAGCGCTTGTATTTTATATGTATA